CGATGGCTGAAGACACTGAAGTTTACTTATGCAAACTTTTGATGTCCAACGTATTTCCCTTCAAGTTGATGAGTCAACCTTGCCAAGTAATGAGGCTTTACTGTTGATGTACTTCCGATTTATGAAGGAATGAAAAATTATTCAAGAGATGCTTTTTGCAAAAAACCTGATTGAAGATACCGAAGGTAAATCTATTTTTAATACTGTCAAAGATTATTTTAAAGAGAAAAACATTCCTCTTTCGAATATTGTGTCTGTTGCCACTGATGGAGCTACTGCAATGGTTGGTTGACATTGTAGGTTTAACCCCATTTTGAAGAGGGAGGTACCCCTCCCAAGACAAAGATACCTAGAAAACTCCTCCCATAATTGATGGCCAAGTACCAGATATTTTAGCTGTCCACTGCGTGATTCACAGACAGCATTTAGTTGGAAAAAATCTCAGAGACCATTTGCATCAGTCATTGCAATATGTCGATCTCTGCTGTGATGAAAATTCGCAGTAATACTCTCAACGATTGATTATTCAGAGAGCTGTGCAAGAAAAACGATGAAAAATTCAATCGCTTGCTACTACACACTGAGATTCGCAAGCTTTCCAAAAACGCCTGTCTCAATAGGTTTTGGAATATTTTCGACTCTGTGCTTGAGTTCCTTGAATACATGACGGATTTATTTGTAAAATTTAATGGTGTTAATTTACAATTTCAAGGCGACGAGCTCAATTTGATCACTACAAAATCAGCTATTTCTGCCTTTCTAAAAAAACTCATTTTGTGGAAGCAGAATTTTGGTAGGAATAAGTTTAGCCAATTTCCAATCTTATCGGAATAAAGAATGGTGAAATTCTCTCTGATGATACACAAGAATATTGTAATAACCTTGAGTCTTTGTACATTGAATTTTCTGACATTTTAAAGATGTTTTGTCCCTGGAAGTCCCTTAATGGGTTACGAACCCTTTTGTGAATATTGAAACAGCAGAGGTTCAGATTCAGAAGGAATTGGTAGAACTTTCAACTAATGAAGTTTTGAATAGTAATCGTCTTACAGAATTTTGGCTTCAAGTTAGTATTTAATAGCCTTCCCTTCCTTCTATCTTGTGGAACGAAGATTCAGTGATGTGACGTATCTATTCACAAACAGTTGACTCAAAATTGTGTAAAGAGGGGACTTGCGTCTTCACCTCATTGAAAATATTGAACGCAACGTTAAGTAACTGGCCCTGAACCAAGCACAATTATCTCACTGACATAGTTACTTGATTGTTTCGTTGATACTACTTTTTAGAATAAGTTTTTTTATCTATCTTATTAAGAATAAATGATTCTTATTAAGCATAGGTGTCTCAGGTGAATTTTTTTCATTACCGTAATTATTTTGATTATAACAAATAGATTGCAACTACTTGCCTTAAAAATGTTGCCTCTTTTAATTCAGCACACATCCCTCCCTCCCCATGCTCTAAATAACTGGATTTTCACAAAGGGGGACATTGAGACTTTTTCTGACTCTTAGGGGGGCGGCAAGTAAAAAAGGTTGATAATCTATGATCTAGAATCATCAGAATGTGTGGCAGATGACCTGACGCGAAAGTAATAAGTCAGGGACAACTGCATTCGGCGTAGGTATGCTGCATTCGCGACGAATTTCGGAACTTTCAGGCCATTTTGTTTACCTTTTGGTTTGAAAAACGCACCATATGATTTTAGTCGGCTTATGGCAAGTATATTAAAAGGATGTGAAGAGTATGCAGTGTTATATTTGGATGATGTGGCCATATTCTCTAAAAACTGGGACGAACATTTAAAAACACCTAGAAGACATTTTTCACAAGTTGAGTGCTGCTAAGTTGCACATAAAACCTTCAAAATGCCAATTTGGCCAAGCTTATGCAAAGTACCTTGGTTATTTAATTGGACAAGGCCTAAGAACACCTGGTGAATTGGAGGTCTTTGCCATAAAAGAATTCCCAATACCCACAACCAAGTCTCATGTCCGAGCTTTTTTGGGATTAGCTGGCTATTACCGAAAATACATTAAAAACTTTTCTGCTCCGCTTACAAATTTACTCAAAGGCCGAAATCGTATATCAAATATTGATTGGAATAGTTCTTGCCAAAAAGCGTTAGAGGAGCTTGAAGAAAGATATTGTGACAATCTAGTTTTATATAGCCCGGACTATACAAAGCCTTTCATTATTCAGTGTGATGCTTCCAATCTTGGAATTGGAGTTTTACTTTCGCAAATGATAGAAAATGAAGAACATTCTATCCTGTTCCTCAGAAAAAAAAATTTCGCCTACAGAGCAAAAATACAGTACTACTGAGAGAGAATGTGCCGCCATTATTTTTGCCGTGCAAAAATTGAAATGTTATCTTGATGGATATAAAAAATTTGTGATTCAAACGGATCACAATCCATTAGTGTGGCTGGAAAATAACACTGGAACAAACTCTAGACTTTTAAGATGGGCATTAATTTTACAATCATTCCATTATGAGATTGTTCAACGTAAGGGAAAACAACATCATAATGCTGATAGTTTGAGTCGAATCCCTTAAAATTTGTCAAATATCAATACCATCATAAATATCTCAGGTATAAATATTTTAATGAAATAAAAATCATTTCTTAGTAGTTCTTAAGTTTTCAGTGTTTGTATATATGTTTCAAAACTTCTGTTATATATTAATTTTTATCGGTACATAAATTTTTATAAACAAATAAAAAAAAAAAAATAAATAAATCGAGACATCAAAAAACCGTTATTTGAATTGTTAAAAGTATTTTTATTTTCTTTTAATGTTTTTAATCTGTTTTGTACAATCGACTGGTGGCTGGGTCGCGTGCAAGCGATTTTCCCCTTTTTGAGTTTAAAGTCCCTTCGTAAACGATTATTCCCCAACAGGCAGTAAATGGCTGAAGAGGAGTGACGTAATGGTATGAGGGCCTATCAGCTATTGCCAGAGGGCGCTGCTTTTCTCCCTCCTTTTTTTCGAATTATCGACGCAGAGCGCGTTAGCCAGTCTCTTAATTTTTTTCCTTCCAGGTAGTAGGTGTCTTTTTCTAGGTAGACGTTTTAGGGCTACTAGGCCCTGGATCCAGGGACCGGATGACCGATAAGTACCTTTTAAATTGGCGTATTAAATGAGTAATTCATTTTATTTCATTGATTAGAAATCCGTCTTAAATTAACAATGTCGAAAATTGCTATAATATTAAATTAACTTAAAATAGATGCTTAAAAATCTGATTACTCCGCTAATCTTAAACCACGTGCGAGATGATTTTTTTTAAAAAAACCCAGCCAAATTTTTTATAAATTGTTAAATGTGTGAAACGTTATATGTTCATTAATGTAATTTAAATTGTTATAACATTTGAATTTAATTTGAAGGTGCACCGAATTTTTTGAATATAATGTGTTCTAATTATTGTTTAACGAAGCCACTATATTTGTATAAGTGCAAGTACATTGTAATCCAGATTTAAGTTTAAATACATCTTTGTTTTTAAACGTTAATTTAGTCTTTAATTTTGACTAGGTCTCATGCTGTTTCTTTTGATAGAGATAATGTAGTACACGTGCAGTAATTCTCAAAGATCGTTAAAATCCTTCTAAATGAAAAATTATTTCGATTAATCATGTGAATTAACATTGCTTATAATTAATTCTAGTCCAAATTGCCGTTTAACTAATCAGATTAACATTGATCTTGAGGCACGTGGATGGCCTGCACGAGTACGTTAGGGAATAATAATAACTGATGTTAAATGTTAGTTATTAAGGTATGAAGCTGCTAATTATTTTAACGTTGGAATCGCAATGTAATTATTTTGATAATTCTAGTTATATTCCTAATTTCTGATTTAAACTCACACAACGCAAAAAATTATCGTTATTAAAAAATTATTCTAAGTGCTATACGNAGGTGTCTTTTTCTAGGTAGACGTTTTAGGGCTACTAGGCCCTGGATCCAGGGACCGGATGACCGATAAGTACCTTTTAAATTGGCGTATTAAATGAGTAATTCATTTTATTTTATTGATTAGAAATCCGTCTTAAATTAACAATGTCGAAAATTGCTATAATATTAAATTAACTTAAAATAGATGCTTAAAAATCTGATTACTCCGCTAATCTTAAACCACGTGCGAGATGATTTTTTTTTTAAAAAACCCAGCCAAATTTTTTATAAATTGTTAAATGTGGGAAACGTTATATGTCCATTAATATAATTTAAATTGTTATAACATTTGAATTTAATTTGAAGGTGCACCGAATTTTTTTGAATATAATGTGTTCTAATTATTGTTTAACGAAGCCACTATATTTGTATAAGTGCAAATACATTGCAATCAAGATTTAAGTTTAAATACGTCTTTGTTTTTAAACGTTAATTTAGTCTTTAATTTTGACTATGTCTCAAGCTGTTTCTTTTGATAGAGATAATGTAGTACACGCGCAGTCCGGTGCCATAATTCTCAAAGATCGTTAAAATCCTTTTAAATGAAAAATTATTTCGATTAATCATGTCAATTAACATTGCTTATAATTAATTCTAGTCCAAAATTGCCGTTTAACTAATCAGATTAACATTGATAATTGATCTTGAGGCACGTGGATGGCCTGCACGAGTACGTTAGGGAATAATAATAACTGATGTTAAATTTTAGTTATTAAGGTATGAAGCTGCTAATTATTATTTTAACGTTGGAATCACAATGTAATTATTTTGATAATTCTAGTTATATTCCTAATTTCTGATTTAAACTCACACAACGCAAAAAATTATCGTTATTAAAAAATTATTCTAAGTGCTATACGATCGAAAATCAATTATTACTTTTATTTAAGGATAAGGTTAATAGCTATATTCCAACATGTTTGTTAAAAAATGAACCAAAAAAAATTTCATACAAATAAATATTTAAATTATAACATTTTTAAATGATAACACTGACTGGTTATGTTTTTTTAAAATTTATAAGCGATTGAATTCTAAATGATAACACTTAAGCCTAATATTTGATCAACAATTTTATTTAATTATACCAACAAAGTAATTAAATTATAACACTATACGATCAAATGTAAATTATTATTTTATGAAAGGATTAGTGTTGACGCTGCCAACTTAAAAAAATCTCAATGTGTAAAAAAAAAAAAAATCATTGTGTAAAATAACGAACAACCAATATTTAGCTTAAGTATTTATTCATTTAGTAAACGTTAAATTCAACATTAAATTGTAAAATTTTTAAGTATATGATCCAACCAGGAAGTAATAATTATTGAAAAGCAAAAAAAATTTAAAAAAGCTATTAGTATAATAATTGTAAAACACACATTTCAAAGCATTTTCAGTGTGTAAAACAAATTCATGATTTTGCAAGAAAAGCAACAGTTGCCTTTTTTGCTTTTTTCAAAGCATCTGTTGAAAATTTTCTCGCATAACACAGCTTTGAATTGTGTGTTTTAACTACCAACAAATTTTCCAAAGTTTTATTTGTCATTGTAGAGCGAAATTGAGTAAGATTTTTTTTAACAACACTAAATATTCGCTCACATTGAGCATTACTATGTGGAATTGTTAAAATTGATAACACAATCTTGGCATGTTGCTTATATTTATATTGTCCGTTGACATCTTTGATTTGCATTATATTAGCCCATTGTGCATCCATGCGTTTGTCATTATTTACAATTATACTTACATCTTCTAGTTGAAGGGAACAAAACTGATTTTGTAGTTCATCAACTGTTGTTTCTACAGTTTTAATTAATGATGGAAATAAATCTAAAAAAAATTGAACATTAGAAAATTTTGCAGATTCAATTCTGGCTAAGTCAGCCACTTTAGCATTTATCCAAAACCTCATCATTCAAGGGAAATTTGTTGATGATGTAATCACAGGCTGCAATAAAATAATTTACACAATTATGGAAAAATTTCCTCCTCAGTTCAGCATTAAAATTAGACACTTCTTTAGCAGTTACGCTGCCTATAACTATTTCTGATATTTCTTTATGATTCTCTTTCTCATGATATTTGACTTTAAGTAGATCTTGATCTTTAATTGCAGAGGGCTTTAAAAACTTACTAAATAATTCTTTTAATAATTGGAGGTATATGTCTCTTAATTTATGAACGTAAGGAGAATCAGACTGTAACAAAACATTTGTCTTTTCAAATATTGTCACAGTATTGAGGAGAAATAAGCAGTATGCTTTATTTTCAGAAGTAAAAAGAAACAAATAATTTCTCTTCTCTGCTGAGAATTTTTGAATAGTCATGTGTATCGAATTTTGGTTGTTTACTACTTGAAGAACCTTCATCTGTGGCTTTTCTCTTAGTGGGAACAGATTTCACCTTGGGTGTACACGTATTACTGACACTCAAGTCAGTGTGTGCTTTTTTTGGAATTTGATACGTGCTCAAAGAGACTGACACCGTCTTAGACTGAGATTTCACCGATTCTTTAAAAAAACTCACAAGGGGATCCCACTGCTCCATTAGTCTAGATAAACTACGGCCTAAAGAGAGCCATCTAGTGCATACATGCTTCAATATCTTGTGTGCTTCTTTATCGTGTAAAGCCTGAAAGTGCTTTAGTGCATCTTTACGTTTTGCACTCTTGTTTAAATAATAATAAATATCAACCAATATTTCATCAACATTAATGGGTAAGATGGCAGCTGCTTTTTCAGCTGCAAGATTAATCAAATGGCAAGCACACCTTGCCGAAATTAGACTATCATGTTGTTGCTTTAGATGAGCAATTACTCCATTTCTTTTCCCCTGCATTACAGCAGCATTGTCTGACATAAATGAAACACAATTTCCAAAAGGAATATCAAACTTCTTAAATTCATCTAAAATTAATGAACTAATGTTCTGACCAGTTCCATCACCAGATAAATTAGATACAGATAAAAGATTACTTTGAATTAATCCTTCATCCGGATTAAAATAACTAATTACTACCGGATACAACTTGTGATCAACATCATTACTGCCATCACAAGCGGTAGAAAAAGAATTGTGTTGCATTAACTTTATCATTGAATCAACATGATCACTAGCCATTTGATAAACAAGAGCAGACGTCTTGGTTCGACCACATCCATACTGTTTAGCAATATTTGACTTCGGGAACATTTTACGGAATAACTGACCTGCATGATCAGCGGCCGTAAGAGGTACGTTATGCTCTATGAGAAATGACGTAAATAACATCTCAGCGTTAATCACGTCCATATCGTCATTCTTTAGATATCCATCTAATTTCGTGCTAGAGCTGACCGATTCTGCAGATTTCTCGTGTTTCATAGATTTAACATGGCGAGAAATATCAAACTTTCCACCATGTGAAATGGTAAAATCGCAACGGCAAATCTCACAGAATGCGCTCTTATCACCAAGTCTAGGCGGTTTTAAAAACGGAAATTCCTTCGTATATTTTGCATTAAAAGTTTGGCAATATGTCTTTTTGTTCTCAGCCAAAATTTTTAACAAAAGTGAAAAAAAATATTCTAAACAAACGATCATAAATAAATTTTTAAGATTATTATGCTCACCGTACACGCGATTTAAACGAAACAATCATAACATTAAGTTGAGTTGCACATACGACGCGAACTCCACGGCAAGAAATGTTTAAGCCCCGCCTACAAAGGCAGTAGCGGTATGACGTTTATCTACAGAAGGTTGTTCTCACTGCTATGGTTTTGCGCATCAGTTCGTTTCCGTAGAGGCGCGCTCCGCAATCGCGAAACCTGTTCCCAATACAAGAAACGCGCTTGCGGCTTTTAGCTGAAAGTAACATTTTAATTATTTTTCGGAAAAATAATTTCAGATGCGTAAAAAACGATGTATAAGCGTAGAGATGACCAGAAATGCGTACATTTTACGCGTAAAAGTTGGCAGGTATGCACAACTATCATAAGAACTTTGCCTAGATCCCATTTCAACTAAGCATTCTTATTAAATTGAAGCAAACCTGCCACTTTGCTTTAAGCCATCTAGAGCTTTATTAAGTTTAAGAACTTTCCCCTTTAAACTTTGTCCGTAATATTCACTAACAGCCGTATTCACCACACCGAGTTAAATTCCAGAGTAACTCGGGGATCGGAATATCCACGGTTCATAGTTACTCTCAGATTAACCCTCGCTTTTTATTCTACAACCTGGAATTGTCTCCTTGGTCCGTTGTGATGATAGATGGAACACCAAATTTAGACACCCATTGTGACACAAAGCATTTTATTAAGAGGATCTTGAAGTTCGGCTACATTCGCTAAAAAACGTCTGTAAAAGTTGAGCATTGGCAACGATCGCCGAAGTTCCATAATGGTATCAGGTTTCGGAAAATTACATATTGATTCAACTTTATCGGGAAGTGGTTTAATGCCTTCAGCAGTAATAAGACAACCTAAAGACTTAACTGATGTTTTTCCTAGCACGCATTTATCGGGATTGAGTTTAAGACCGTATTCTCTTAAACGGAAAAAAACGTTGTGTAAATGTTCAATGTGTTCGGTTTCGGAAGATGAAGCTATGAGTATATCGTCAAAATACGAAAAACAAAAAGGGAGATTTGATAACAGTTGTTGAATGTGTCTCTGAAATGTTTGTCAGGCATTACGGAGTCCGAACGGCATAGATGTGTATTCGAAGAGACCGAATGGTGTAGTTATCGCGGTTTTAGGGATGTCTGCTGGGTTGATTTTGATTTGATGGTAAGCCCTAGCGAGATCAACAGTGGAAAATATTGTTTTACCGTGAAGATTTTGCGTACAGTCTTGAACGTGAGGGACCGAATAGCGATCAGGGACGGTTACAGAATTAAGCTTCCGATAATCACCGCAAGGTCGGAAATCTCCGTTTGATTTTTTTACTACATGGAGGGGACTAGCCCAGGGGCTTTTTGATGGGCGAAGAACGCCAAGTGACATAAGATATTCGAATTCTTTACGAACTGCTTCTAAAATTTTTGGCGCGAGACGGCGGGGTTTTGAAAATACAGGGGGCCCTTTAGTTTCAATATGATGCAAAACTTGGTTTGAGAGATTAGTCGGAATTGGTTGTGAAGGATTAAGTAATTCGGGATATTGTTTTAAAATATTATGATACTGAGTTGTACCAATCAAAATGGATATATTGGATTCTAAGAAATTGATTTTGGGGGGTTGGCCGTTAGAACCTATCATAGTTTGTTTTCACATCGATAATTCTGTGATTTTTACAGTGGACATATAAATCAAAATGCTCTAAAAAATCTTTGCCGATAATTGGTTGCCGTACGTCAGCAATTACAAAGGACCAAATGAATTGCCGTCGCAGATTAAAATCTAACGCTATTCGTTTAGTGCCGTAAGTTGGAATAATAGTACCATTAGCGGCAAATAAAAAGATATCATTTTGTAATTTCGCGTTAGGAGCATAATTTTTTGGCAAAACGGAAATATCTACACCTGTGTCGATTAAGAAAGTCATATTCGAAGAAGAATCGGCCAACATAACGCGTTGCAAAAGGCGGTCGCCGTTTTGGCCGGTGGACGATCGCCGACCTAGTTTTCCGATGTGTGGGGGAAAGAACAAGGTGGGGTGCATTTTTTTTGCTTTAATACCGAAATTAGTGTGATAAAAGCACTGTCCATTTATTGGTTCTTTAAATTGTTTGAATCTTTGGGAATTGCTCCGCCTTCTAAAATGTTTGTTGCGCTGGTTTTGGGGATCATTCTGCCGATGAACCAACGCTGTTAATTCACTAAGTTGCCTAGATACTGCGCTATTTGTGCCTCCATATAGCATGTAGTTTGGGGCTTAACGACGCTTGCTGCGTTAATGGAATGCGGGTTGCACGTTTCGTGAATCTTGTCGGCAACAGTAGTCAACTGGCTAAGTTCTTGGTTCAGAGCCGCGAGAATTGATTGAGCGTTGTGGCGCAGCCTGCCCAACTAGAGCCATTTAAGTAGTGGCTCACCAACAGATGATCCAGCTAATGAGCGCATGCGTGCGAGTAACTGCGAAGGACGTTGGTCCCCGAGTTCGAGCACCTGCAATAGTGTGCGGATGCGAGATGATTCGCTTTCAGAGTGAGAATCAATTAAGCGTTTTTTTAAAGCCGCGTAAGGAGAATCCTGGGGTTGACTATGTAGAATATCGCTAACAGTGCCGCTACCACGTGATTAAATTTACTTTCTTCAACAGTTATTTTTGCAAGACTAAACTGCGCTTCTAATTTGATAAACCAAAGCGTTTCCAAAATGGAGGTGGTTTAACACTAACATGCGAAATTTGCGCTTCGGTGGTTTAAGTAGGAGGAGTCGGAGCCATAATGAGGCAAATATTATATAATCAAGAATGAAACAGTAAAGAAAGAAAAATTATTTTCGAAGATTTGTTTATGCACACTCGCTTACGTTAAAACATTACAAAAAAAATATATATATATATACAAAATAACGTAATTACATTAAGGAAATAATAAAGATTTGCGTAATTTGAGTCCAAGAGAAAAACAAATATAGAACAAATGGGAAACATAAAATAAACTACATACCCAATGAGCTCAGCACCTGTTGCACGTGGTATATCCATTAGTAATGCGCGATTTTTGATTTAAAAAAAATGTTATTTCGTTAAAAGAAATAGATGATTTTGTTAATCATTTTAAAGTAATTATTATAAAAGAATCTCCGATGAAGAAAGATATTGAAGGTTGCTTTTAAATTTCATTTAGTAGGTCACCAATCTATTCTTCAAAATCAAACATTGATAGTTTAACGTCACTCTAATCATGAATTATTTTTTTTTTAAATATTTATGAATAAAATACTATATTAATATATTAAAAATAATATCAAGAAAATAATTTTATAAAATAGAAAACTAACACTAATTTTTTATAATCAATATTTGAAGTTTAATTTTGGAAGTTCAATCAGTTTTAATTTTTTTTATTTTGCAAAAAGCAAAAAAAAAAAAAAAAAAAAAAAAAAAAAAAAAAAAAAAAAAAAAAAAAAAAAAAAAAAAAAAAAAAAAAAAA